GCCACACAACGATCGTAGATCGGGACCAGGATCACTGCCGCATACGATGACTCGTAGATCTTATGGGCCGCCCCGAACTTGAAAGCCTCGCGCTCATAGATGAAGCCGATGTCATAGTCCTTGCCGCGAGTGAGTCCCAGATAGCGCTCAAGCCAGTTGGTCCCGACCACCGACTTGGTGGAGCACGCTGAATCCAGGATGGCATAGAGCTCAAACTGCCCATTCGAGGCAAACTCGACAATGTCGTTGGTCACATGCACGGTCTGAGGTTTGTCGGGTCCGCTGCGTTTGGGACAGACTGCATCACGATGCCAATGGCCGCGCTGACCACAAGCTGCACAAAAACTCTTGGACTTGGCGAGCTGCACCTTGGCTTCCGCAGCTCGCTTCACAGCAGCGGTGTCTAGTCCGCGACGATCCGCGGATCCATGGCTTTCCATTCCACGGGCCTTGGTGGCATCCCGATATCTGGCCTTCGCGGTCATGTAGGTGATGTACAAGTCGCCCGTGTCCTCGCCGATTTGGTCGACGAGGTCAAAGTCCTGCTCGGAGTCGTCCTGGTCGATGCCCTCGGCCTCCTCCGTGTGGTTCACCGAGTTGTAGCGCTTGGCTGCCGCCCCATCGCCGCGGCTCCCGCGCTCCCAAGGCTTGCGGATGGAGCGATCCAGGATTATCGCGGCCTGTTGTAGGTCACGTAGAGCGTATCTGTTCCCCACCGAGGCCAGAAGCGAGACCTCCGTCGACTCGTCCAAGCTGGCCCTGTCTACGTACAACCAAGCCGTGGCCATATCAGGTAGTCTGCACCCGCATTCTGTTACCCGCGCCAGAAGCCTATTGAACTCTGAAGTGTAGTCGCGGAAAGTCTGACTGGGCTTTCTCCTCAGCTTTCTGAACAGGTCACTCAGCGACCTTCCCACCTGGGTCACCTCGATGTCCAGGTAGTGCTGGGTGATCCAATCCTTCAGCACCTGCACGCCATCCCGCCTAGCCAAGTCCTCAACACAAAGCGACTCGGAATTGACCCATGCTGATCCCTGGAGGTTCTGGTAGAGGACCAGGGCGCGTTGGTCCGGCGTCAACTTCGTCATCTTTTCCCAGGCGGCTATTTGCCTGAGATAGCTCCGGGCAGAAGTGCCCAAGTCACCGGTGCCCTCCACGTCCCCGCTAAAGGTGGGGATGATCAGTCTCTCAGACGGCCCCTTCGTACTCGTGTTGCCGACATCGCGCGTCGGGCCATCTCCCTCCATGCGGCCATCGCCTGTTCTGGTAGTAGGCCCCCCGGTCGTAGTCGTCATCGGGAAACTTCGCGGGGCCGAGGTAATTCTGGATGTAGGCTCGCCATCGCCACTCTTCCACGAGGGGCTCCCGGACCATGCGGTAGTCCAGCTTGTAGATCCCTGTGCGTTCCACTGCCAGGGTTCCCATCCTCCTCGCCACTGATCCCAAGAGCGAGGTTGCCACCAGTCATCCCAGTGGCGCCAGGTCTGTCCGGACCCGTCGGACGCACGGCGTCCTGAGGCGGTGGTCGCGTCACCCGACCCACCACCATCGCTGCTTCCATCTCTCGGCTG